AGTCTGAATTTTCTTACTCCTGAACTTAGTCACCAAGTTGCTTCGAAGGTGTCGAAGGCAAATCCGGTGATACGCAGCGGGTTCTTGCCAATCTGCTAATGATTAAATGGCAATGAGTAGGCCCGCATCCCTGTCGGAAAGAACGCAGATCCGTCTCTGGAAGACTACATATTGCCGCAGATTTCTAAGGAAAAATGACCAACTGTCTGTGCTTTCTTCATCGACAAGCGCATACGCGACTGGCAATAGGCGCTTATTCGCAGTCTGTGCCGTGGCCACAAGCAATTTTCCCATGTAGGATCCACGCAAATGTGTGCCATCGACGCTAATAACCGGCGGGCATATTTGAAAAGTTTGAATGGCGGGACCAAACGTCCAGAATACGAATTTGAATTGTCTGTCTCGAAGTTGTCGCGCCATTTCCTCACCCTGCCATTCCCACTCTACAACTGTGGAGGGATTTGTTCTTTGAAGCGCGGCAAAATACCTACACATTACAAAGCAGTTTCATAATAAATAGATAAAAATAGCGACAGACAAACAACACATATATTTGTAATTAATTTTTGCGTACTGAGGGAGTTCTGGAAAGTTCGATTTCCAAGTGCCATATACACTCTCGATGGCTTTTCTCCTTCCGTGCCATGCCTTCTTGTAGCTGACATCCACTTTCCAGCACTGTTTCACATCAGCCTGGATCATGTCGACGCTGTACTCCACTTTCTTTCGAATCTTATTACTAATGAGATTTGAAATCATTTGGGCGGTTACATTTCTGTGGTCATTTCTCTCGACCGGTTGCATACAAGTGTGTCTATCAGTCCATTCAGTTAGTTCCCACATTTCAGGAACCCGCCTGGACTTAGTCACCCGAGCCTTCCACACACAAGGCGGATCTTCACTAGATCTACAGACCACTTTGAATGACTTTTGATTTGAATCATTTACCCGAATCTCCCGCAATCTATCGATGTTCCAACCCATTAAAGCCATTTGGGCTTCTTGCTTGCTCCGAAAAACTATACCCAAACATATGGTCTCAATGTCGCCATTCCAGCGTGGAATAGCATACTCGTCCTCATCTATCCTGGACGGGTCCCATTCATCCATCTCGCGGTATATGTGCCGATCACCACTAGGAAAGGGAAATTCTTCTTCAATGAACTCGGCTTCACTCTCCCCATTCACCGATCTATCTGATTCGGTTTCTGAGGTCTCGTCTGTGAAATCATCTTCACCGAGTGCGAACTCTTCGTCACTTTCTTCCCCGTCCTCATTTGCCCTTTCTCTAATTGGTGAGCTTGTCCCTTCTCCAAAATTACTAGATGAGAAGTCGACGTGCCCTCATCCATACCCCTGTAATAAGGAGTCAAATCCTCAAATTGTGTGACCGGTGTAATTGCCTCCAACGATAAATGCAAATACACAGCGGACATAGGAGGAGATAAATAAATCCACTCAAGAGCACTATCGTTATCGAGTCTTCCGGCAGTCCACGAACCATCGCGTTGACGAAACATTAAAGTAATCGCTTGAATTGTCCAACCTTCTCCAAACCGACAATTTTCATTAATCATCTGTACCAATTGTTCATATGATATCCTCCCCGTATTAACAAATGAACCATCCGGACTATCCATAAATGAAACAAAATCTTTTAACTGATCCCTCGCAAATCGCCAATACAAATTAACAAAATACGAACCACAATACGCCATTTATACCTGTTGCAAACAAAAACTTTCAATTCTTCCCAATTACAACAACACATAATGTGTAATCCAACACCCAAAAAATTTAATTATTCTTTAAACCCATCTTTTTACTCTAACGAAAAAACCAAAAAAAATATTCCCAATCGATTAATCCTCCAAAACCCTAATACCCATAATCCAACAATAACATACGATTTACCTATATTTCGAATAAATTGGAAGCCCTAATTCTAATTCTAACCCTAATTTCAAAAAACCCTAAGCCCAACAACAACCAACCGATACACAATTGACAATTTAGAACAAAATTCTAATCTCCAATTCAACATACACACAAAATCGATAAACAATTAACAATTCACAATCTTCAAACACCACCACATTCAAATATACTATAACAATTACTAATTTTCAAACAACTCCAAACAATGTCAAAAGTTGAGATAAGTCAATATACCTCGTGCGGATGACTTAACCGGAAATGAGGTTCGTGTTGTTGTTGTCGATTCACGTATTAAATAAGTTTTTCAATATTTTTTTTAGTTAATTAAAAACGTAATTATATTATACGGTTTAAAATATTTTTCTTAAATTTAAATTTTATGAATTAAAAACTTATTTAATAAATCCGTTTTTCAAAACCTTAAAAATCAATCAATTTAGGGTTTTATAAAACGGATTTGTTAAATCCGTTTTATAATTATTAATTTTTATTACATTCCTCTCTTTTTAAAAGAAAATAAATATTTTTTAAATTATTTAAAATTAAATAAAAACGTATAATGAAAATTCATTTTTCTAATAAAATGTTATTACAAAAACGGATTCGGAAAATACGTCATTTTTATTTTTTTTCACTGATTTTTTTTTTAATTTTTCTCCATTTTTTTAAATAAATAAACTACCCAATATTTTCATAGGGAGGATGGAATTTGTAGTGCTGACAATAATGTTTAGATTGTCAATGATCCACGTTTTCTTGTAAATTTGGTACGTGCACTTGATTATGATAAATATCGTAGGTTAAGATATTTTTTTTTATATATATAAATATATTCGTTAAAAAATCAAAACAAATTAAACCAAATCAGAATAGATATTGGAACTGACTAAGTTTAGAGTCCATGACTACATAATTGTAAGATAACTTGTAGCTCGTTTGTTTATATAGAAAAAATATATGGGGTATGGAATGAGG